TTTATTTTTAGTTAAAGAAATGGTTAAACTTGGGGAGTTTGTTAGTGAAAAGATCATGAGACGTTTCAATTAATTGAAGTTTATTAAATGTGTACATTCGGATTTAAACTGAAATTTATCTAGTTTTATGGAACCTACTATTTCTCATATTTATCAGGATAAATGAGTATATACAATGGGTTCAATATCAGCTGGAATTAAACGTGAAAGAGATTGGATTCTGAAGATGATTCCAACAACGACATCAGGAGCTTTGCAGATGATATACTTGTAAGTAGAATAGCACAAACAGATTTGTTTGTCTTAGTGTATGTAAAGATTTAATATAAATTTAGCTTTGTTCTTATGTAATTTTCTCTTCTATCTCCTCCCATCCTCTGCTTCTTCTTTTTTCCCTCTTGAAATGAAATCAGGAATATGCTTTCATGTTTGGTTTGTTGATATATGGATGGTAGAATAAGATCTTGATGTATGGGGCATAGAAAACAGTGGCGGATGTAACATGAATTCGGCAGAACTCACTGCTTTTGGTTTGATAAAATTAGATATGTATTTCAGAATACACTTACAACTCAGAAGCTATAGTGTCTGCTTTCAAATTGTCATGGAATATGTAAACAATATATCTTCTGGCTTACCTGGTGGGGAGTGATATTCCCGAGGGAAGACTTCCACATATGTTTTAGTATTAGTTATAGTAGGCGTTTGGACATGAATTCTAGATTTTTTTTTTCAAAATCATGAAACATGATTTACACCTCATAACTTGTAAAAATATCAAAATTTACCCCAATTTGATTATCCTACTTGAAATATACAATCAAAATGCTATTGTTTAACTGTTATCATATTCTGTTTTACTGCAATACACAGAAGATGCAAAATCAACTAGGACTGATGTTCCACCATCAATCGCCAAGAGATGTATCTGCCAAAGATGAAAAACTGATGGGGTCATTTTATAAATTTTAAAAATATAGGGTAAATTGGTAAAATTAAAAACTAGCAAATTCTCATTTTCAATTGAAAAAAGTGGTGAGAACCAGTTTTTTAAATTTGAAAATGAATTTTCAAGTGAAAAAAGAAAAATTGGTAAGAATAGGATAACCAAACATTATTTTAAAAAAGAATTTTGAAGAAAAGGAAATTATTATGTCCAAACGGGCTCATAGTTATATACGGAGCGGAGAAGCATTAGACAACTAAAGGATTTTACTGTGTTCAGTAGTTGCATTACCCTATGAACAATTCCATTTACTGTGACAGAGTATTTTTTTCTTCTGCTGATTTAAAACTCAAGAGTGATTGTAGATAGGATGCATTCAAGGAAAAAATGAAAAATTAAACTGATTGAAAATGAATAATGCCTTGAGGTGCTGTTCCCCAAAGTTTTTACCAGTTGGTTCTTTTAATATGTTCTTTTTCCTAGTCACCCTTCTATGAGTTCAAAACCAAAGTGTGATTCTTCTGGACTCAAAGAACCATAATAGGTGAAAAATAAAACCGAAATCATAATATATATAGTGTAGTATTGTACCGCGCTATAACTTAACGACAAATACCTTAACGACACGTTTGCCGTTAAAGTATAGCGCGGTGCAATAGCACGCTTTATTTGAACTGAAATGGGCGGGAAGGTACAACGTCCTTACCTACGGTGCTATAGTATAATGCCCTACATAAGGACGCTATACATATATAAATAATTGTGCCTTCTCCTTCCCCACCAAACCAGAACTGTTATTAGTGTGATAAAAAAATTAGTAAAATAGAGAAATTGTTATTAGTTGTTAAAAAAATATTAATTAGTTAATTTTTACTTTGGTATATATTTTTTCGTGATTATTTTGTGATTAAATTAATTTGTTGTTTTTATTCGGTTAGATTAGTTATTTACTAAAAGATTAGTAAAATAGATAAATTGTTGTTTTAGAAATAATTAATCTTATTTAGATGTTATTGTTGTACATATATGCATATGTTACTTTAGTTCCCTGTAGTGGTATCTTGTGCCCATAATTTTAATGTAATGCTCATATTTGTTATATTGTGTCACGACCCAAACCGAAGGGCCGCGACGGGCACCCGGTGCCTTACTCAACCGAGTACCAACGTAACATATCTTTCTTATCATACTATCATGGGCAAATGAGCCAGAAAGGCCGTCATGAGATAACAAGAATAAAACATAAGGGAATACTCGACATATGACAACCTAACATGATATACAAACTTATACATGCGAGATACGGGCCTATAAGGCCGAAATGATCATTCGGACGCTCAAAACATAGGCCGACAAGGCCATACAAGTATCCATATACCCGACATGTGTCTACAAGTCTCTAAAAGTACATAAACGTCATAAAGGTCGGGACAGGGCCCCGTCGTACCAATCAATACATTTCCAAAGCATACTAACCAAATAGGCAACTCCGGAACAAGTGGAGTGCACCAATACCTTGCGTTGAGCTAATAGTCTACTAGGAGGACTGTCAACCTGTCAATCGGGACCTGCGGGCATGAAACGCAGCGTCCCCAGGCAAAGGAACGTAGTAGAAATAAAGTACCGAGTATGTAAGGCAGGAAAGCATAAATATGAACAATAATGTAAAGAGAGATAGAGAAGATATAACATGTAACATCTGAGTGCCTTTGAGGGCAACTGACGTGAAATGCATGATACATAGATATATAGATATACTTTAAAAAACATACGCCTCTGTGGGCATCATCATCATCATCATCATATCGTACTTGGCCTCGAAGAGGACTCGGTAAAAACGTACCTGGCCATCATAAGTCTCGGTAGAATCGTACCCGGCCACGTGGAGCTCGGTAAAACCCAACTGACCAGTGGTTAGGTGCCGTACCTGGCCGACTATAGCGCGGCTCGGTTGAGTAATATAGATACAAATATATATAATGCATGTTAGACTCATGGAATCATGTTCTAAACCCTTCGGAGTGACATAAGGTCGTCGCACCCTCAATTAACATTATTGACATCCATACAATCGTGCCAAAGAAAGAAGGAAGCGCCTTAACATACCTTTGAAATCTTCTATCCAATCGTCAAGCAAGCTCAATATGATCTTCTTACGTCTACAATGAGTAAACCGACTTCGTCGTCATCATATAAGCGTTGTAACTCTCATATTTGGAAACTAATATTCTACAAGAAAACGGATAGCACCTCCCCTATTTGTACTACATCCCATATGTTACCAAAAGTCACCAAACAGCCCAAACAACAATAATTTAAAATAAGCTCTCCGATTAGTTCAACAACCATTTTGAATGGCAAGCTCGATTTACGATTATATAAATATGGTTTGAATCAACTTCCTTTTCCACGAATCTGCCTACAACATCTATAACATTATACTTATGCTTACCATATCATTTTCAACCTAAAACATCATAAGCATAATCTTCAAATATAGTCCACACGCCTAACACCTCAACCTATATCGTCAACCTCTTATTTTTCATGTTATCTTCTTCAATCCACTGAATTAGCACATAGGTAAGCGTAACAACAGCATCCACAACATAATAAAACTATTTATAGCAATTTCCAGCCACATTAAACCATATATATAGCCTCAACACAGCCCACAAAAAAGATAACAACTCCTTATGCCATGTCAATTACTATCTTCTAGATTTTCACTCAAACAACTCAACCAACATATGATTGACCTAAGCACAACCAAGAACATGATTTACTTACCTTAGGTAGTAGATACAACTTGAAATCCCCAGCTGGTGTAACTCACAACAACCCTCAATCACACTATAACACTATAGGAGTTGTATTCTCTTCTTAAATCAATTTGTGTTCAAGTTGGTCTGTAAGCACTTTGTATTTTGCCTTGAAACTCTAATATATATGAATGAGGGACTGATTCTTAGCTTAATTATAAAGAACAACACGAAATCTGGGGTTACTTACCTTTGAAGAACCCTCCAAAGCAGCCACAAGATGAAGAACTACGATCTAGTAAGCACCACAGTATTTCTAGCATTAGATTCATGTTTTTATCTTAGGTTTTCACCCTAGAATCATGGAGGAACCCTTGGAGAGCATTTAGGAGGGTTTAGAAACTGTTTTGAATGAGAAAAATGAGATAAAAGACATAATTGACTTAAATACAAGCTGAAGTTTTACACCGACTTTCTGGGTCCCATCGGAGCTAGACTCGTGGATCTTCAATTCGGTAGGTAGATCACCCCATAATTCCAAGTATATTTGGAGAAAAGCTCAGCTACAGTTGACCTAATGTTCAACACATTTATGAATGTAACTTGTGATGACCTTTTGTCAACTTTTGTTGCACAACTCGCTTGACTTCAAAACCTAACACACGTTTAGCATACGAATAAAATAACTCATAACATAACCTCCTTATCATGTTAAGCACCATAGTATCACCCCAAACTTTTATGTTATAACATTCTCAACTTGTCGACATTCGATGAAACTTATTTTCATCAATTTGTTTAGCTTCTAAGCATTTCAACCCTCTTGGTACTTGTTCTCCATGATTATAAAGATTTTTAACCTCCAAGGTAAAATGATTAACTTACTTTATTTACTTTCAAAGACGATCGCATTTCCGAGCTTAAATCAATTGATTTACGACGTACTCTCAGGTACGAAAACATGGGGTGTAACATGTTGTTCCCTTTGAGCGTAGTAAAATGTAGTGCCCTTTAGCGTAGTATCTTTATAGCTATTGAAATTAATCATTTATTATATGTTGAACCCAAAAATATATGAACAAAGTTGATAGTTCAAACACAAACTCTCTCGAATTCTAGTCAACAAACGAAAGAAAATAACATTGGAAAGCAACAATATTTGTCAAACTAAGTATTGTTACATGAATATTTAATAATTAAATCTTGTATAGTTATAACAATTAATTATTTAATTTTATTGTAGTAAGAATTAGGTGATTAAAAAATAAAACATATAAAATAATAAACTGACATATAAAATAATAATCTAACATATAAAATAATAAACTAACATATAAAATAAGAAACAAACATATAAAATAACAAACTAACATATAAAAGAATAAACTAACGTATAAAATAATAAATAAACATATTAAATAATAAACTAATATATAAAATAAAAAATAAACATATAAAATAATAAACAAACATATAAAATAGTAAACTAACATATAAAATAATAAAGTAACATATAAAATAATAAACTAACATATAAAATATAAAATTATAATATAGAAAATGTATCAACCTAATTAACAATATAGTAAACATATCGAATAAATTTTACTATTACGATATTGCAATATATTTAAAGATGTTAAGCAATGAAAAAGAAAAATACTTTAATTAATATTGTTCAATTTACAGTAGTCGTCATGGAGGTTCCGCCTGTGCAT